TTCCTGCTGTCACTAATTCCAGCAGTTTATCAAAAGTTAATGCTTTCCTGATGGTTCCAGAGGAACACATTAGGCAGAGCATCTGTGAGCACAGGTCACAGGAGACAGATGGAGTTATTGTTTTAAAGTGAAACCTGTTGCTAGACTGAAGAAATAAATAATCATCAGGACAATTAAGATCTCAGGGAAGCATCTGATGATCTGCTTACAGAGTCAGCTGGCTGTGACTGGGCGCAGCGGGATCTGTGTCTCCAAGTAAGCTGTTGTGGTACGTGTGTGTAACCTCTTCTTGTATTTGTTACTTCTAGGTTCTGTGCTGTCAGTGTATAGCTTCTTGTGTAGGAAGCAACACATGCTTTGATTAATGTAGATGGACTTGCATTGATTTTAGCAGGAGTCATGAAAAAGAAAGAACCGATTAAAATTGCCATCGCTAATGTGGTGTTCTCAGAGTGTTTCATTCAGAACTTTCATGGGACTGGAAAACCTGAAGGAGAAGGTGATTGAGAAGTGTGCCTGGGCTTCAGGAAAGCTATCCCTATGACTGTCCCAGGTCCAGTTTAGCCTGGCCTTTTGCTCCTTCTCAGCTTGCCAGGGTTGCCTTGTGACTCATTCTCCTCTGCACAGATCCTGTTTTGTAATTTCTGCTGGATCATCATTCCAGTGCCTTCTTTTTTCCTATCTGAGGAAGAGAAGTTCGTAAGGGCCAGGAAACCAAAGACGTTATGGAGGAACGCATGGGACTGGACTAAGCTAAAGGGGGGATTTTGGTGCATTTTGCCACATGTCTGACTTGTATGGCACTACAGTAGAAAGTAGCACGGCTACCAGCGTGGTGTCAGACTGAAGCCGCACTGAACCCAAGGTGTACACGAACCATTTATCTACTCACTGGTCTTTCTTAGTGGTACTTCTGCTGAAGACGGACCATTTATGCAAGCAGTAGTATTAATACACAAAGAGACAACATTCTTTCTGGTGTTTGGACTGGCAAGCTCCAATTACCTACCATTCAGTGCCTGTAGCAGAAATAGTGGGTGTCTGCTATGCTGGCTGATGGAGATGCATACCACTCTCAGAGCAGAGAAAGGCATATAATTAGGAGTTTGTCTGGTTCAGTAAAGTTGTCTCCAGGAAGCAATGATTAGTCACAGCAGTCCCTGTTTGAGTTTAAAAGGATTAATAACTTCAGTGAGAACTCATTTATATTGCAGGCAAGTGAGCTCATCTAAGACATGTATGTTGAAGGGTTGATCCTAACG